TTTTTTAAAAATGTGTTATCAACAAATTTATGTAATTTAAAACATATGTTGCCATTTGAAAAAGTGATGTCCTGCCCTTTTTTTGGGGTATAAGGGTTGGAGATACAAATTTCCACAGTATTGAAAAAATTAGGTCATTGTGTACCTTAAAAAATTAGAATTTTTTTTTTTTTTTATGTTCACATTTTTTTGAGAAAATTAGCGCCTTAACCAAAATGAATTACTCTGTATATATATATATATATATTTTTTTTTTTTTTATTGATTCTTAATCATAGGTATTTATTTAGGTCTAATCGTATTTAAATTTTATAATCAGATTTTTTATGGAATTAAACTTCGTGTTTATTAACAATTTTCAGCTTATAGAAGAGGCGTTCGAGGGTTGTAGAAAATTGACGTTAATAGAATACGACGTCGACATTATTGAAGAAAGAGTTGGACTTGACGATTATTACCTATACATGGGTGACAGCAATGACCAATGGGAATTTGTAAAATCATATTTCGAAACCTATAAGGAATGGCCCTCTTATTGTAAACATTTTTTACACACGTTATATGTCGATTAATATTATTTTTTTTCTTCGATGCGAAACTGTAAAGTAGTATTTGGTTTTTAAGAAATTATTTTCGTTCAAAATTACCATATAGTATTCAATATCCTATTAAATGTGGTGAGACCCAAAAGTATGCACAATTAAAGTAAAATTAAAAACAAAATGACCGCCTCTTCGTCCGGACACAAATTTAGACAAATAAAAACACACTACTACAAAAACAATATAATTTCAGCTGCACATCGAAGCTAAAATAAATTATGTAATTGACAACTGCAACATATCATGCCTCTATGATAACATATATTATTTATAATTAAATTTAATGTTTTTTTGTTTTAGTTTCCATGACATCAGACATATTTCGTGATCTTTTTATAATACATTGTGAAAAATCTGGATTGTCCGTTTCAAAAATTGCTGAACAAAGAAAAGCCAAATTGGATTCAAAGATTACAAAGAAAGGATATCTTGATTGGAAACATAAATTGAACGAATACCTCCAAGTTTATGTAAAACGTTGGGAACGTTCGTGCAATCTTTAACAATCTGATTCAGAAACAAAAGAAGCAGACGAACGTCCTAAAAAATGACATTCTGAAGAATAAATTAATATGTCTAATAATGTTATAATTTTTTTTTAAATCTCTTAAATTGTTATTTAAAAAACGCTTCAAAATATAATATGTCATAACGACTTTAATAATTCCAAATTCTCTGTTTCTTTTCAAATAAACACTTATTACTTACTAATTGTGTAATATTATTTTTATTTGTGAGAAAAAAGAGAAACCACTATAATTTGTGTAGTAGTTTTAAAATGGTCGACTTTGTACGGAGTTGCAGCAGCTATAGCGTTATTAAGTAGAACATCACATCATGATCAATATAACAGCTCATTATATCAAAAAATAAATAAAAACACATTGTTGTAAATAAAACCTATCTCAAGCTCATCGTCATCGTTTGAGTTGCAACATTTCATCCGGAACGACAAACAAGAAAGTGTGTTAATAAAAACTTGGTAAAAAAGGTAAAGTGTCTAAACGACACTCGGTTAGTAATATTTTTTTTTTGTTCGTCTGTTTGCATTAATTCGTAAAACAGTTGTTTAAAAAAAAAAATGAGTATCTCCATGCCCCGACCCTATTGTGCTGGCATTTTACACTAGATATTATTGCAAATAGAAAAAGTCAAACCGAACTACTCCTAGTTGACTTTTGTTCTCGCTTAGTTTTGGACAAATGTTTTGCAAGCTAAGTACTTTATTTTAATTGCCTCATTGTTGTGTTATATATAAAAAAGGAACTGTCAATTGGTAATTGCTATATACCACACGGTTACTCAAGTGTTCTGGAGAACCATTTTATCTGATAATTATAGAGCTATTATTTCAATTTTAAAAGTAGGATGCCAAGTTGCATTAAAAGTTAATCGTTTTAATGGTTTATTAAATATTAATTGATCAATCGCAGGCAACTAAATTGTGTTTAAATGCCACTGAATATAATATGTTCATATAATAAATTGGTTCATTAAATCTTTACTGAACGTTTATGCAAGTCGCAGCCCGCCAAAAATGTTTCATATTATCAATGATGCATTTCTAAAAAAACAATTGAAGCAAAAGTCTTACTTACTTTCAAATGAAGTGTATAATATACACCAACATTGATAAGGCTTTTAAGAAATCAAAAAGAAATACTATTACTAATAATTTGAAACGAATATCATAAATGCTACGGTCCTTTAAACACTCATGTTTTATTAGATTAAAGATTTCTATCTTAACGGGTCAACGAAATTGACAGATGTAAAACAACGGAAACTGCTTCACACCGAAACTTCTTCACACTTAAACATAATAGATATCAAACACCGTACACGATACAACGGAAAAGGCGAATATATTATAATATGCGTTAATATTTTTTCGACAAATTAATAGAAAATAAACATTTTAATTAATATAACGTGTCAACTGTCGAACGCGAACAAACGATAGGCGGTAATTGATAAATGCCGACAGCGGAAAATCTTGTTTAGATCATTTTCTTTTCCATGAGTGAGATAGTGTATTATATTTTCTTTTCCAGGTTCAAATATAGGGCCCATGTCATTTTATATATTAGATATGGCTGTGATAGATATTAGATGTGGTATTCGTAAAAATGCGTAACGCCATTCGCTTGGCCTCGACGCCTTTAAGTACAACTTATATGGTTTTGGAAAACAGTGGCTTTGTGTGTACGTTAACTATGTAAAGAACACCATCGTACGCTATATTTGTATTATTTGCAAACCATATTATACGGAACGCAAAGAAAATTGGAATCAAAACTACTTTGTTTTTTATACACATTAAATTGTTAAAAATTAACGTTTATACATTTTGTTGAATGTCGGCCGACTTTTAAAGTAACACAAAAATTAATAATTTGTGGAACATACGACTAATGACTATTAAACGCTATAAAATTAAAATCAGAAATTGAGTGCAAGGTATTCGGTTAAAGAGAATAACACTGCTAGGTGTTTTTAGCCGGGTAACATTTGGCATCATTCGAAACACTTGAGTATACATGAGTATTTTCCGCGATTTCATACGTTGGTTTGCCTAAGCACAAATGCCACACTGTTTTTAAATATTTTTACCGAAATTTAGGTACAAGTTGGAAAATTATATGAAAAAAAACTAGCTGCGGGAGGGTGACAGGGAGCAAAGTATATTTAGGGCGGTCACAGATTCCAAGGGTGGCCTAGCTATGCCAATTATACAATTGAATACATAAGCAGAAATTAGCAAAATTAGCCATACTATGTTTATGATATTTTCCATGTTCAAAGAAAACCTGATATTTTCTATTGGTTCTTTTTTTATCGATTTCAATCGTTATAATCATATTTCAATTATTACATCAGCCAACTTTTAATATACATAAGCGGTGAAATAGTGCGAACAAATCAAAAAGATCCGACTGGAATTTGTAACAATTACAGTGATATTATTTTTCTATACGAAACACCAGTAATACCATAACGGCTATATAAATATTACTAACCGTGTGCTGGTTATCGTTTTTTATAATACACTAGCCCGTTTCGTACAACGAAAATTTAGAGCACAAAATAAAACCTTACACGTTATGATTTAGTAACCCAAATTTAGGCCTCTGGTTGAGGAAATCTATACACGTTCGAAAATAATCGTTCTACTCGTTAAAATTTTTCCAAAAAAAGACAGTTCAGTTAGGTCGAGGTATAGTGGGGACGGTGAGGTCACGGTCTTCAGGAATTATTAAAACTGATGACAAGGGAAAAGTGATAAAATCATTTTTAAATAAACCCTTCGATGCGAATCTGTGGATAGTACGTTCGAACCGGTACAGTCAAAACTTAGCACAGTAAGAAAATAGTATATGTAAGTAAGTGAGTAAGTAAAAGAGGATTAGTGTTCACAGATAAAAATACAAATTTCGATAAAAGCAATGTACCTAAAGACAGTTTGTTTGCCTAAAAATGATTTTAGGCTATAAACAGAAAAATATTAATCAGCGTATGATAAATTAATACAGTTAATATGTGTTAAGTTACTATGATAAATTACTGGATCATTTAGGGGTATCTCAGATTTAGTATAAACGGTACAAAAAATTATTTGCACATAAATCGACTATTTCTTGGCCATTACTAGCATTAATGCCATTAAAAAACAAGTTTTGGGGCAAAGAGCTAATAGAGGTTTATGATTTAATAAAACTACAGACAAATTTACTGTTAACGTTAATTGAGTTTGAACATTTTTTAAATATTTATCATAGTTTAATTTACTTAGATTTTCACACTGTTTGCGAAGATTAGAAAAAAATAGTATACACTTGAAAAAGACGAGCTCTTTTGAAAATAAGTGTGCTATTTTTTTTAACGAATAAGATTTTTTAATTCTGTACTAACCCAAATTTTATATTTAGAGGAAAAAAAAAGTGAATTTAAACAATGAAACAGTATAGCAATAGTTACTAATGCATGGCAATAGATAACTGATATTCTACTAGACATTTTAAAAACATATTAAAACCCAGAGATTTATAATCTTAATATTTGGTGGCATGGAAGTGAAATATATGTGTAATAAATGAATTTTCTGTAAGATGTAAAAAAATATACATTAACACACCTCGCTAAAACTTTGGTAGGTATGTTAGTTTTGATTTTAAACAACGAATAAATTAGTGTGCAAATATGCAATTTTGTGTAAATAATGGCAAAAAAAAAAATCAAAAGATGAGAACCCGTATAATATTCTTTATTTGTTTCAATTCGATATAAAACAGGCATTCAAAGACGGTAAAATTTATTCGATTTATCTCGCAGTTTAACTTCAGATAATACTTTATAGACTAACCACAATGTTTTTAAAGTTCTCTCTTTCGTTTTTGTTTTTTTATCTTAGCGGTTAGCTGTATGCATACAGGCCAACCTGAAGCATCAGGTTTAGATGCACCTGAAGGGAAAACTGAGCCTGAAGCATCAAGTTCAGCTATACCTGAAGAGAAAATTAATGTCACACCGAAGGATTTAGCGGTAATTAATTTTATTTTTTTTTAAACTATTAGGTTTTTTTTAATATTTTTCAGAATCCTTTATAATATAATGAACAAAAACTCCCAATTAAAAATTTTCTAGGAAACTATTATTAATTTAGGTAAAAGACATACAAATAAAATGCTTGTCATAAATACTTGTAATCAAAATAATTGTCTAATATTGTTTGTTAAAAAAATGGTTTTATTATATTAAATTAAAACTAGAGTCGTAACTTAATCATTCGAGTAAAATTCAATAAATATAACAAATGTTTAACCCAAAAAATGTTTACACTTTACTACTTTGTAAATTACTAAGTATTATAAGTTCTATCACTCTATGATTTAATATATTAATTATTCGTATCCGAAAATCCGAACATTTATAGTAAATGCAAATTTTTTTTAACTTAAAGTATACGTTTTGTGCTGTATAAAAAAATGAAATAATTCCAGATTAATTTTAAAATATATTTTTTATTTGGTTTTAAAACATAAAAACATATAATGATGTAATTTTTTAACAGCTAAAGTATATTTTAATTATTTTATAGCAATTTTATTTTATAAATTTCATCGAAAACAAATAAGTCTTTAATAATTTAATAATATTTTTTATTTGCTATAAAATGTTACACACGTTGTATTGCTTTTCTGCTTACTTTGTTATAATCTTATCTATATCATTATTATTACATAATATTACAAAGTCATTCAGTAAAATAATGTTAATAACGCTAATACTTGGAATACCAGCTACTATAATTTAAATATTTTCTAAATTTATTTTTAAAAAAAAACCTTTTTTTTTTTTAAAAATCTTATTGAAGCGAATAAATGGATAAAAATTAAAAATTCAAAGAATAGCATTTTTTTAAAAACTTTTGTCTACAAATTTATGGAATTTAAAACATATTTTGCCATTTGAAAAAGTGATGTCCTGCTCTATTTTTTGGTATAAGGGTTGGAGATTCAAATTTTCACAGTATTGAAAAATATAGTACAAGGTGTACCTAAAAGTATAGGAAATTATTTTTTTTTAAATGTACATGTTTTCCGAGATAATTAGTGTCTTACCCAAAATGAATCACCCTGTATACATATATATTTTTTTATTGATTCTTAATCATCAGGTATTTATATAGGTAATCGTATTTAAAGTTTATAAATTTAAAATTTTTTAGAATTAAACTTTGTGTTGATTAACAATTTTCAGATTATAAAAGAGGCGTTCGAGGTTATTAGAAAAGAGATGTCAAAAGTGTACAACCTAAGATTTATAGTTGAAGCAATTGGATATATTGATTATTACGAATACATGGGTGACAACTTTGAAGAGTGGGATTTTATAAATTCATACTATAAGATACAACACTCTAGCGAATATTGTAAAAAAATTTTTACACACGTTATATGTCGTTTAATAATATTTTTTTTATCTCCGATGCGAAACTGTAAAGTAGTATTTTGTTTTTAAGAAACAATTTTCATTCAAAAATACCATATAATATTCAATATACTATTAAATGTGGCGAGACCCAAAAGTATGCTCAATTAAAGTAAAATTAAAAAAAAAATGACCGCCCCTTCGTCCAGAAACAAATTTAGACAAATAAAAATACACTATTACAAAAACAATATAATTTCAGCTGCACATCGGAGCTAAAATAAATTATGTAATTGACAACTACAACATATAGTGTCATTATGATAACATGTATTATTTATAATTAATAAAATTTAATGTTTTTTCGTTTTAGATTCCATAACACCAGATATATTTCGTGATCTTTTTATTATACATTGTGAAAAATCAGGAATGCCTGTTGCAAAAGTTGCTGAACAAAGAAAAGCCGCAATGGTTGGAAAGGAAGGACGTTTTACGTTAAATGAAAAATTGAGTGATTACATCTACCAAAAAAGAAAACAAAAAAAAGTTCAGGCGGAGATTTCTAAAAAAGTTTCATTCTGAAAAATAAATTAATATGTCTAATAATGTTATAATTTTTTTTTTAAATCTCATAAATTGTTATTAAAGAATTGTTTCAAAATATAATATGTCATAACGACTTATAATTATTCCAAAATCTCTGTTTCTTTTCAAATAAACACCTATTACTTACTAATTGTGTAGCATTATTTTTATTTCTAAGACAAAATTTTTAATACGGTCGAATTTGTACGGAACTGCAACAGTTATAGCATTATTAAGTAGAACATCTACATTATGATTAATATAACATCTTATTATATCAAAAAGTATATAAAAAACATATCGTTGTAAATAAAACCTATCTCAAGCTTATCACCATCGTTTGAGTTGCAACATTTCACCCGGAACGACAAACAAGAAAGTGTGTTAATAAAAACGTGTTAAAATGGGTAAAGTGTGTAAACGACACTCTGTTAGAAATATTTTTTATTGCGTCTATTAACCATTAATTCACGTAACAGTTGTTTAAAAAAAAATGAGTAAATCCATGCCCCGACCCTCTTGTGCTGGCATTTTACACTCGATATTATTGCAAAAAGAAATAGTCAAACCGAACTACTCCTCGCTGACTTTGTCCTTGATGTTGTTTATGCCTTTATCGGTGAAATAACTTATATAAAAAATTCTACATGAAATACAATAAAAAAAAAAAAGAGCTAAACTTATCATGTGCGAGAACTTTATTGAGAAACGATTAATATTTTATATTGTTTATACTAGAGCTTCGTTTTTAAGTAATGTCGTTATATGTCATAGTACCTTTTGGCTGTGTCTAGTGATCAGAATTCATACCTAGTTTTGGACAAATATTTTTCAAGCAAAGTACTGATTCTAAACATTGCTTAAAACACGGCCAAAGTGTACAGAATGATAAACGGTGAAATAAAATAACTCTTAAGTTTTTAGATCTGGACAGTTACATAATAATAATAATTATGTTCAGTGCATCAAATACCTATATTATTTGATACTTATCCAGACATATTTTATACATAAAAGATACAATGATATAAATTCATATTAGCTTCGATGCAGAGCGGCGAAGGTATTGGTTTTACACTGATGAGTGTTTTTTTGTTATCTGTGTACACTGTAACTTTTTTAATACTGGACCAATTCCTTCGAGTAGCATTTCTATAAAAAGCAAATTTCATCTAGTTGATATTTTTTTTTTTGGGGGGGGGGGGGTAAAGAATACTTATTTGGTATGCCCGCACACGTCAGTTGTATCAAATTTAAATTAAACCCATTTCGCACCCGCCCTAGAGGAGTTTTTTATTTGGTTTTTTTAGTTATTTAGCCGTTATTTTAGAACCTTTTATTATTTTTTTTTTTTTAAACTACAATCATGGTGTACCAGATGTGAAAAACGAACAGACGCTAATAACTTGCGGTTTGTAACGTCGACCCATGTTAGGATAGGTTAGGTCCCAACTGTCGGTATCATAATATTGTGTTTATTACATGATACAGATTAACTGATTACAGTAGATACACAATTTATTGGGAAAAAACCAATCCGTCTACTTATTAAGACACATAATCGTTCTGACACGGCATAAGAACCGTCGTTATCTCGATATTTTATCGCCTGCGGGAGACCGTACCGAAGGTCAACTATGAGTATATTATGTTCAACTACCTGCAAATTATAAAGAGGACTGTTGTTTATTGGATCTAGATTAAGTGTTGGTTTTCATGCAGTCTACCGCCCCAAAATGAATTTCATATAACACAATTTTTTTTTTTTCACCACCAAACAAGCCGTAAAAGACAAACCTACATTCATTCCACTTAGAAATGAAGATGGTTCATGGGCCGCAAATGATCAGGAAAAAGCAGAACTTTTCCAAAAGCACTTAACAAATGTTTTTAAGCCCCACGAAACTGTAAAAAATACTGAACTTCTTAATAAAATACAAAACTTCTTATTATCCCCACTCCAATTGACACTACCTCCAAAATCTTTCTCTCCAGCCGAAGTTAAACATTGCATATCTACATTTCCCAATAAAAAATATCCTGGTTTCGACTTGATCACATACGTGGTCACTAAGCATCTCCCCAAAAAAACACTTATTCTTCTCACATATATGTTTAATTATATACTTCACCTCTCATACTTTCCGCTGCAGTGGAGGCTCTCTGTAATAATAAGGGCTACTACGAGGATATTGCTTTTACAATTATGGGTTTTATTTTTTATTTTTGTGTCTGGATCCACGATACCTCGTAAACCGCTGAACCGATTTCTTCGTGTAGCAACTCTATAGATCAGAAATCATACCTGGAAGGTACTTTACGGGCCAAAAATTCAAAAAAGTCACCCCTTCCCCATCAAAATCAAGAAAAAACACCAAAAAATGTACAAATTTTTCAACTTAAAATTACGATGCTCTATAACTTTTTTAAAAATAGTCGAAAATGTTCCAAACTTATACGAATTGTTCTTCAAACAGAGTACTATCGATAAACATTAACAAAACAAAAAATATCATAAGCCCTTTCCCCTATAAGGGATAGCATTTTTTTCTTTATTTCACTTTTTCAAGCAAAGTTTTAGAGATTAAGATCTGAAAATTAGACCGAAGGTAGATATTAAATGGAACTATAACATTTACAATTTTCTCAAAAGTCTATAATCTATAGTTAGGAAAAGCCCAAAATTAGGGTAAATTTACGCTTTGGCAGTAGTCAGTTTCTAGGTAGCTTTGTGTGAGTGAATCAATAGTCAACAGGTAATGAAAATATTTTCATTATATTGTTAATTACGATACACGGGTATCCACCCTGCACAAGACTAAATATTAAATTTAAAGTACATTATTGCTGGTTTCACGATATCTTTTAAACCGCTATAACTGGTTTCAACATACTATCCACAGATTCGCATCGAAGAGTTTATTTTAAAGTGATTTTATCACTTTCTGTTATAATAAAATCTGTGGACCTGTGACCTCTCCGTCCCTACTATGCCCCGACCCGACTAAACTTCAAGGTCTTTTATATACTAATGCATTTAATAGTACGAAAAATATGTGCACATCTATAACCATGCAGCTTTTTTATGTGTATTATTATGTGAGTACATACCGGTGTTTTCATACCGGTACGAACTTAAGGTAAATAAAACGCAAAAAAAATAATAATTTGTGGAATAGACGACTATATTCCAAAATATAAGCGGTGCAATAGTACGAATAAATCAAAAAGATTCGACTGGAATGTGTAACAATTACAGTGATATTATTTTTCTATATGAAACAATAGTAATACCGTAATGGTTATATAAATATTACCAACCGTGAGCTGTTTATCGTTTTTTATAATACACTAGCGCATTTCATACAACAAAAATTGAAAGCACAAAATAAAACCTTACACGTTATGATAGGGTAACCCAAATTCGGGCCTCTGGTTGAGGAAATCTGTACACGTCTGAAAATAATCGTTCTACTCGTTAAAAATTTTTCAAATAATCAATTATAGACCTATATTGATTTAGATCATTGTCTTATAGAATAATGATAACGAAGTGGGATGGAAACCTCAATCGGTTCCACCTTAAGAGTATAGAAGGTTGGACCATTTAGGAATAAAGGAGAGCATATTTCGAAATGGAGGGTGCCAACGGAGTTTAGTATCAAAAATAAAACCTAGGTAACGAATAGAGGAAACATATTGATTTGTGGAATTTTCAAAAATTATTGGAGGAGGATCATTTAAAATACGACGACGTGAAAAAAGAACAACATTACAAAAGTTACACCGAGAAAGTAAACAAAGATTCAAAAGCATGATTTTCTATGCAAGTATTATTTATCGAATTCTCGCCTAAGAGTCAACTCGAAAACACAATTTTTTTACTACAGAAAAACACTTGGGTGATTCGATGTGCGTTTCCATTTCCACTGTTTACATGAATGAAAATAATATACGAATCGAAAAATTCAAGGTCTTAAGAAATTCACGGCCAACCCGACTTATTGACGATTTTCTAGAACAATAACAAAAGAACAACTTATGTCGATCATTTTTATTGGTTTTTGTAATACTATGTTATTTCAAGGTCATTATAGCAACCTGTATATTAAATTTAGATATGCATGTTAAGTATTTTTTTGTTTTTGAGTAAAATAGAATTTGATTGAAGTTTTTAATATCATTTAAAAGGGCCCTTATAACTTTTTTTTTTTCAATGTTATATTTACAATAATTGTAAAGCATTTTAACGACTATTTTTAACTATTTAATTAGATAAGTTGGTTTTTTTTAAACTTTTTATACATAAATATTAACGTTTGCATTAATCGAAATAATTGTTCAGACTTAAACGCCAAAAGAGTTCACGAAACTTCCATAATCTTCTATGCAATGTTCCACTCTAAACTCAATGGTCATCCGAACCAACTCGTTTACAACCTCGCTACTAGATCTTTACCGGACATTTTGGTCTTCGCCGAAATTGGCCAAGGGTATCTGATGCGGTAGTTCCAATTAAAAGAAAATTTTGGCTGTACTAAAGCTAGGAGAAGACGCCGAGAAACGTCACTGGCTAGTTTTATTATTATCTCTGTCGAAACATGTGCTTATTTTATTTTGTTTTATCTTGTAAATAATCTAATAAAAGCTTTATTTTGTAATAATAATAATTTGCATGTTATTGAATTATTTTATTTTAATTATTTTGTATTATTAAAAGTTGATTTGAAACAAAAGTTAAATTACATTACAGTCGCTTTCATTTTTTTTTTATCAGGTGCGGGGAGTGCCTCCAGGTCATAACTTATCATTGCGTTTAAAATAATTTTACATTTTCTTCAAAAGCAAAATTATTTAAACGTACTTTCATTTCATATAGAGGCACGTCAAAGAACAAATATTACCGTTGAACCAACCGGATTGGTAAAGTTCTGGGTTAAAACATTTTTTTTTTTTTTTTTTAAGTATTTTTCGTCGATATAGGCATAAACAACTCCAAGGACAAAATCAGCTAGGAGTCGTTCGGTTTGGCTTTTTCTATTGCAATAATATTGAGTGTAAAAAGCCAGCACATTTTGTAAAAAACTGCTATACGAATTTAAGGTAAATAGACGCAATCAAATATTACAAACCGTGTGTTGTTTCTACACT